TGAAAACTATGCCGCAGGCAACAGTTAGCAGCAATTTCCATGACATTGCAAGAGCAGGCAATGGTTTCCTTTTTTTGGATCTGCAGGCAAGACCACTGGCCTTCAACCTACCTGACGTGCACGTCACATAAATTCTTCACATTTCTTGCACACTACTATCAGGCAGTTCTTTACCGTTGCATTCGACAGTTTTCATCTGGTTTTGAATTTTGAGTTTTTGTGGGTTCATACAAGATTTTCCCTGTTTCTACGGTTCCCAACATGACCCACAGGTTTTTACGTTTTCCTTTTTTTTTGCAGCATGCATCTGGTTTCCCACTTCTTTAGGGCTTTTTCTGTTCTGTTTCGTTTTCTTTTTGTCGTACGGTCTCATTGTTTTCCACCGGTGCCCACAGGCTTTTTCCTTATCTGCAGATGTTCTGCGGTTTCCAAAGTTTCTGCTTTCTGAAAAGTTCACATATCTTGAGATTTCGTCAGTTTGCAAGTTCGCACAGATTTTCAATTTTTGAGGCAAAAATGGGGAAACTTGGTTGCTTTTAATTGCACACAAATGCTCCACGGTTGCTGCCGTTTCGCTTTCTTACTGTTTTCTCCGCACGGCGGTTCGGTTTCTAGCTTTCTCAGTTGTCCGTCTGTGGTTTGTCGGCTGCAACGTTTCTGCTTTTGCTATGTTCGATCTCATTGAAGAGCCTCGGATTCCGCAGCCGCAGACTCAGTTCTGGGTGCGCTTTTTGTCACGATTTCGATGTCTGCTGTGAGTCAGAGTACATAGGGTTCTCTCTATTTTCTGCAGACTTCCTTTTTTTTAGATTGTCAGGTTTCCGTTTTTTTGTGCAGATTCCCAGCGGGCTTTTTGCAGTTTGGCCTGCCAGTTTTGTGTGGTGTGCTTTGGATTTCTTGCGCTTTTGTTGTTTTTCCTGTCTGTTTCCTGTGGTTTCCAAAGTTCCTTTGGATTGTCTCGGTTTCCATTGCGGGTTTCTGATTTTCCACACAGGCAGTTTCCTTCCAAGATTTCGGAAAGGCTTGGCAAGTTTGCCGTTCAAATTTCTATCCCGTCCATAAGCCCGCTTCTGGGTCCGAAAATTGTCGAGATTTTTGCCAAGTGCTGGAGGGGCCTCCAGAGTAGAAGGGCACTTGTAACAGGTGCTCATGTCTTAGGAATTGCCGAGAATTGGTTAAAAAAACGGGGAATCACTGTTTTTCTCGGACTCTAAGAAAGAAATCCTGTCTTGCATGTAATAGGATGCACATTCCTCTTGTGCTGGTCTGGGTTGTTTTAGCCAACAAGCAATTGTTAGGCGTTAGGCCACGCAGCTGCGCAACGGCATGGACCCTACAAACTTATAAGCCTTAAACCTCAAACCCAAAGCTCTCAACCCTCGAATCTGCGAAGAGGAAGGTCCAGAAGATGAACAAGGCAAGTTTGCATGGAGGAAACCGCAGAGAGCCCAGGACCTCTTAATTTTAGGTGGTGTTAAGGAGACCCCAAACACGCGACCCTTTTTAACTCTACTTATGGCTTTCTTAAAAGGGACTTTAAAAAAGAGAGTCTAGATCTGCAAGGGTCCCCCTAGTCCTTGCCTACTTAACCTACGGATGAGCATAGACTGCAAGCCTTAATATGAAGCCCTTTTAGAGCTGAACGTGTGCTCCCTACTTCAGGGGTCTTGAACTCTTGGGAAGCCGGCAACATCTGGGTTTCAGCAAGATAAACAACGACAGAACGGTGGCTGTGGCTATAGTTTAGGGTCCTGAAGGTAATGCAGGATGTATATCATCAATCGTAAGTCTCCTCAGCTGGCCGAGTCGCCCACATCAAACACCGCAGCGTGTGATGCCAGAATGTATCGGGTGTAGGGTAGCGCAGGGGTACGTTTGGGGTTCGATGAAATCTATGTGGACGTGAAGGGCATTTGTAGTTCTTTCTGTGTGGGTGCACCCAAGAAAACTGAACAGTCACCCTAAACCCTAAACCTTAAGCCCTAAACCCCAAACCCTAAACCATCCTAAACCCTAAACTCTAAACGTCGGCATGATCGACATTTTTGTCCGGAAACCATACGGAACACTCATCTTTCATGAGAAATCGCAGTAAACACTCAAACTTTCCAGAAACCATATGGAATACGCGAAAGATCCTATGAAATATTCATCTTCCAGAAACCATACGGCATAGCCATCTTTTATGAGAACATTTATGGACTATTGTTTTTCCGGAAACCATCTTGCATACGCATCTTTCCTGAGAAAACACAATAAATATGCAAACTTTCCAGAAACCATATGGAATACGCATCCTTTACGAAAGATTGTATGAAAGACTTATTTCCCAAAAACCGTATGGAATAGTCATCTTTTATGACAAATCGTATGGAAGAATATTCTTTTTTAATGGAACCCATATGGAATACTCACATTTCATGAGAAACATCATGGAATACTGTTATTTCCGGAAACCATACGGAACACTTATGTGTTATGAGAAATCGTATGGAATACTCATGTTTCCAGAAAACCATATGAAATCACTCATCTCTTATTGGAAGCCAGATGAAAATTTTCTTTTTTCGCATATATCATACATCCTATGGAAGTTTAATGTTTTCTTGGAAAACAAATGCTTTTTCTGTAGGACACTCGCATGCCACGAGACGGTAACATGAGATCTCGGCTACTGCTGTGAGAAAGCCTGAACCCATCCGTAAAAGCCGAATGGTAGCTTCCAAATAAACTCGGTTTAAGCCAGGCACCCCGCCCCCCCCTCTAGGCCAGAACCGGCAAAAACCTTGAACATCCGAAGGCGTTTAGGGTTAGGGTTTCCCTCAACGCTAGGCCCTAAACTCTAAACTCTAAACTCTAAACCCTAAACTCTAAACTCTAAACCCTAAACCCTAAGCCGTAAACCCTAAACCCTACAAGCTCTAAGCCCTAAATCTTCTGAGCCCTCTCAGCTCAAAGAGAGTCTAAGGGTCTGATCCCTGGTGATCTGCATTCTGGCCTTCGCCATCTTCGGTGTCGAGGCTGTGGAGTTAGGGTTTAGGGCTCAGGGTTCAGGGTTTGCAAAATATCCCATGTCAGCCGTTCAGTTGTGACTCTGCAGCTTCTTTCTCTTATGTGGGCGGCCCTGCCTGAGATAGCTAGAGAGCTGCGCTTCTGGGGTCCTAGCCATAGCAGTGGCCTTCCACTTTGGGCTGTGTTTCTACTAGCTATTTCTTGTTGCTGCTTCGGCTGCTGCCTTGGGGTGCTTTGCACATCATTGGCTTTATCCTCAGCAGCCCGACGCTATTGCTCACACTTCCTGAGATTCCTTGCAGCTTGGTTGGAGCTGGCTTCGGCTCCTGCACCGGGCCTTCGAGGACACATTGGGAGGTGCTTGCAGGAGTATCGTGAATGAGTGGCCGGCCTTCGATTGCAGACCTTGTGATTCACTTCGGAGGGCTTCGCATTTCGGTTTCTTCGAACGAGGCTCCTGCACCAGCGGCTTCTAGTGCTGCCCCTTCTTCTCCGACTGGATCTTTTGTGCTAGTGGAAGCTCCGGCCGACAGCCCCCAAGCTCTAACTGGACCACTCGCAGGGGAGGCGACCGAGCCTTCCAGGGATCCCACGGGCACTTCTGCCTCTGAGGATTTCTTAGCAGCGACCACCGTGGAGGAGTTAGGAGCTCTTCGGCTTGGGCCTCTCGATCATCTGGCCCGTGGTTTGAAGGCGGTCGGGGATTGGACAGCCGAGGCTCGGATCGCACGTGCCTACAGGGCGGGCCTTTCTGCAGGGGCTCTCTATCGTGAAGAGAGAGAGTGGTTGCATTCGAGTCCTGCCTTGGGGGCCCGCAACCGGTACTACATCGTGCTTCAGTGCGTTGCTGTGCCGGCTGGGTTTGTGACGCAGAGCTTCGCTACTTTTCAGGCCCACGTTCAGCGAGACCGCCACGGGCGACTTGAGCACAACTGCATCTGCCACGGCTTTCCCTCTCGATCTGAGACGGAGGCCTATCTCTCCGGAGCTGATCTACCATGCCCTCGGGAGCTCTGAGGCAGGAGGATGTGATTCAGCTGCTCACCAATCCCCCGGATGGGCGGCCTTTGCCTTTGATCTATCTCTTGGACGACGAGGTGAATGCCACGATGCGAGTTACAGCCTTTTTGCTCAAGTACCGGGCCGGCGGCTTCATGGTCGTGGTTCCCGACACTCCGGCTGTGCGAGCTTTGGTGGGTGGTTTGGCCGAGGAGGGCGTGGAGAACCCTTTTGGTTTTTCCGAGGCGGACATCGCATGCGAGACCCCGCGTCGGCGAGCAGTTGGAGCAGTGAGTGTCCTACTCGTCGACGTCCCATGGGCCGGGCTAGATCTTTTCAGGCGGGGGGCCTCACTGCGCTCCAGTCCTTTGAGCTTGGTTTCGATCACCTTGCAGGGCACTGTGGTCAGACCGGTTGTTGCTGCAGCCCTTGCTGCCGCCGACAACTGGATCAACCGTGCTATCGCCGAACCCGAGCTTCAGGAGTCCATGGGGGAGTACGCCACCGCCGCCGAGGAGCAGGACAACCCGGACGAGGAGGCCGATGCCGAGGACGAAGCCGGGGCTTTGCCAGAGCCCGACCAGGAGTTAGCTCGTTTGCGTGCTCAGGTTGCTGCTTTGGAGAGGGCCGCTCAGGCTGCCCCACCCGCGACCGGGGTTGGCCGAACTTCGGCGCCTCATGGGCGGCGTGGCGCTCGCGACTTGTTCCCCGAGGCCGCTTCCGTGGGGCTATCGGGCAGGGACTTGGAGAGACTTCGGGAGGCAGCCGGGGCACCGCCCCCCAGGATCGCTCAGCACGAGAGGGCCCCGCAGCGGGAAACGGCGGTGCAGCAGGCCGACGACCTGCTCGCCGAGCTAGACCTGGAGGCTACCCAGGACGAGCCCGGGGCCGGAACTTCGGATCCCATTCTGCATCGGCTGCTGCTCATCCAGACTCGTATGCTCAACCAGCTGACCGCGAGTCGACCGCAGGGTGCTTTGGAGTCTGCTCTGGCTTCAGGAGGAGCCAAAGACGACGGCAACTTGAACGCTCGTGGAAGTGCAGCTCGGGATGCTTACGTTCGCCTGCTCAAGGACAGTGTGCAGGTGTCTTCGCAGATCCGTCGCTTGGTTGCCGAGGACCTGGGCGAGTCCGTGGAGGACCCGCCTTCAAGCTTGATGCGCAGGTACATCGAGCGTCGGTGCCCGGTGGGGGAGCACAGGACTTTGGCCCTAATCGGGTCTTTCGCCGGACATGCTTGGCAGCGAGCTCGGGAGACCGACAACGTCGAGATGGAGGCCTGGTTTGCAAGGCTAGTGCTGTTCGTCGACCAGGCGGGGACCGAGAATGGCAGGACTCAGCTGGCTTGGTTGCTGGCGGGCTTGCCAGAGCCGAGCTGGTCTACGATGATGCGGCGGAAGAGCGGCCTGAAGCCCTTCGCGAAGAGCTGCCCCTCCCTTTGGGCATCGGCCAATCTGGCTTATCTTCGGGAGATGGATTGGCTGTCAAGCAAGATGGCGAGCAGCAGCAGCGGCGACCCTTCCAAGGACTCGGGCAAGGACGACGCGGCGGCGGAGGAGGGCGACCCACCCACACGACCACCACGCCGCCCTCGACGACCCAAGGGGGCCGCCGACAGCTGAAGCCCAGGGAGAGAAGTGCATGCCAGACCTGCGCGGTGGAGCTGCATAGGTCTACGTGGGCCCCTGTGCCTACTAATTCATCCTGTATGGTTTCTGATCCACCTGGGGCGAAGCCCTCAGTGGCGCGGGCAGAGCCGAGGGGTTTGTCATGTGATCATGTTTCAGCCCATACCCCTCCCGAGCGTGAGCCTGAGCCTTCGAAGATACCTCTCCGAGAGACATGCTTCATCAGTTGGGTCTCTAGTTTTTTAAGTTCCTTTTGGGGTGCTAGGTCTGGTTTGGGGTCCTTCCTTAGATTGTCCCTACGTGCTCCCGCCTGCAATGTTCTGCCCGGACACTCCCGAGGCGATTTGTGGCCTGTTCCGATGCCCCTGCGGGCTCGATGGACGGCTCATGCATCTTGCTCTCTCGGACCACGGCGCCGCCGCCGAGCTAGGGTTCATAAACTAGCTTGGGATCTAGTCCGGCTTCAGGTTGGGGTTCTTAACTGGTTGTCCCTAGGATGCCCCTGCATACCCCCTCCTTGTGCTTGCGCTGGCGGTGCGCCTGTGACTGACGAACAGCACTTGGTTCTTGAGACGCTTGAACGTCACACTTCACTTTTTGAGAGCTGGCCCCTTCAGTGCTACTTCGCTTGGACGGTCGGCCGAAAAGTACGAACTTCTTGCTCGCATGGTCGAGGAACTGCCGCAGATCGACTTTTGTCGCGCTTCGGATGTGGACCGCATGCTTGCTAAATTCGTTGATGCACTTCAGGGCGGATGGGATACCTATTCTCGCCCTCGACGATCAGCTCCTGTTTCGCCCAACTTTGCACCGGCGCCTCAGGCCGCAGCCTCTGGAGAGGCTGGTGCCAGTGCTGCAACTTCGGGTGCTTTAGGGGTTTGTTCTTTGGGATCTGGTCTCTCAGCCAAGAAAGTCATTGCTGATCGCATCAAGTGGTCTTTGCCACCATCGTTCGATCCCAGACCATTTCTCTCTGATCGCTTAGCTCGCCTAGTGTATGATGACCCTAATGCCCTTAAGCTAAAGGAGTCCTCCTGGCCCCGCATTCCTCGTGCACAGGTGCATTGTACGCGAGCCGAGCTGTTGCAGTTGGCGACAAAGTGGGATCAGCACAAGGCGCTTCGCTTAGTGCCATGCAAAGCTGTTCCCTTTCACGAAACGGTTGGGTGCTTCGCGGTGAGTAAAGACTCTTCTTTCGATAGATTTATTATCAATCCGGTTGTGGCCAACAGTCGGACTCAAGGGCTCAGTAAGTTCACAAAACTTTTAGCCCCGGGTTCCCTCCTTACCCTAGGTCACCTCCCTTCTGATAATCACTTCTTTCGGTTTTGCTGTGACGATCTTTCTGAGATGTATTATACATTCGTCGTGACACCTTCACGTGCTGAAAGAAACTGCTTGGGAATGCCATTCAGCCCTTGGGAACTTGAGAAGTTTAGTGTTTTCGATCCTTTGGTTCATAATCAGCCTTGTTATATCGCGTTGGCTACGCTAGCGATGGGCGACTGTCACGCCGTGGAGTTCGCTCAGCAGAGTCATTTTCATGTTCTCAGTTCGATTGGTTGCAGCATGCGCCCACATGAATACGCCGCGTACCGCCGGCCTTTTCCTAGGACTGCTTGCGTCGAACTGTTGTCCATAGATGATCATCTTACTTCGCAGCTTTGTTCACGCGATGAGCTTCAGGCTAAAACTTCTCTTAGAGACTCCCAGGTTTTTGAGGGTTCTGATCGGGCCTATCCGGTTGTAGGTTTAGTTCAACACCCCAAGAAACGACAACGAAACATAACAACTGGTACGTTCCTCGGCGCCGATGTTGATGGACTCAGTGGCTTGATCAGTGCCCCCAGGCATCGCGTTGGTGTGCTGATGCGCATCACATCCGCGATCGCGCGGAAAGGCTCTTGCTCAGCGAGTCTTTTATCATCTATTCTTGGCCTGTGGGTACATATCTTGATGTTTCGCAGACCAGCTTTGGCTATCCTGCAGAGCGTGTTCGTCGACGCTCGCCGTACTCCGCGAGACACAATTTACCAGCTCGAGCGCGACTCGGTGAACGAGCTCTTCAGTTTGTGTGCTCTGGCTCCTTTGCTGCAGACGGATTGGCGCGTCGGCTACGCAGACTTCCTTTTCAGCATGGACGCCTCACCCGATGGTGCTGGCTTGTGTGCTGCAGCTCTGCCTCAGGAAACCGTGAAAGAGCTCTGGAGATACTCGGAGCAAAAGGGTTTTTACACCAAGCTGCTTGAACCTGCCAGTGCCATTTTGGCCGCTGCCGGGCTCGATGATGATCCTGGAACCGCTTTCGTTGAGGACATCGATGACACGCACGTTTCTGGCTTAAGTTTCGGTTCGGAGCCGCTGCCCTTGAGGCGGCCTGTGTCCACCCCGGCAGGTTTCTTGCACTTGTTCGCTTCAGGTCCTTCCTGGTCCTGCGCGCACTCCCTTGCTGGGCTTTCTCCGGTTTCCCTGGCTCCTGCAGGCCTGTCTGGGGAGCTTCGTTTCGAGTCTTTGGCTTTGGACTCCGTCTTCCACGGTCTTTGTGGTCTTGTCTCAAGCGGCGCGCTCTTTGACCTGCACGTCTCCGCTCCGGCTTTGTCGTTCCTACCTCGGGGCCGCAGCAGGGCCCGTTCTGAGGCTGACCCTTCCGCTTCCTCTGCTTCGGGGCGCGAGCTCGGTCTGCACAACCGCTTGGCTCGCCGGCTTTGTTTTCTTCTTTGCATAGCGGCCTCTAGTGGTGTTTTCTTCAGTGTCACTCAGCCCGCGTGCAGTTTGATGTTCCGGCTTCACTGCTTCCGTGGCTTGGTTGCTCTCGGCGCCGTCTTGTCTTACGCCTGCTCCTGTGACTTTGGAGCTCCTTTCAAGCGGGCCCTTGTCGTTCTGCACAACAAGCCTTGGCTTCTCGAGCTTGGTGAGTGGGGTGGTGGCTGTCGCTGTCCTGCTGGTGCTGTTCACTTTCGTGTGGCGGGCTCTTTCTCCGCTGCGTCTGCACGCCAGTTTGAAGCCTCCTGCTCGCCTTCCTCAGCTGCCGTTTTCGGGCGTTCTCCTCGCGTCGGCGAGCTGGTCGCGCCTTTCTGCTCCGACTACCCTTGTGCCTTGGCGTCTCGCGCCGCTTCAGGTTCCGCCCTTGCCGCTACCACTGGCATGGTTGCTCCTATGCCTGCTTCGGCGCCCCTTCGCACCCTTAGGGCCCTAGGTTTTTCGGTTGTAGGTCCCGAGTCCTTCCCCTGTGACGGTTCAGGTTTTAGGCCCCGCGCCTTTCACGACAATCCCGAATGGATCGGTGAGCTTGCAGATTGCTTGGAGTTTGTCGAGCTGCTTCGGTACAAGTTTGCCGCGCCCGGGCATATCAATGTTCTTGAATGCCGGGCTTACAAGACTTGGATCAAGTGGTGTGCCAAGAGGCATCCTCGTTGCCGTCTGCTTGGGCTCATCGACAGCCGTGTTCTTTTGGGCGCTGCTGCCAAGGGTCGTTCGGCTAGTGCCGCCTTGTGCAGGGTCCTGCGTTCTTCACTGCCTTACGTTTTGGGCGCTGGCTTGTACCCGGGCGGGCTTCACGTTTACTCTGCTCAGAACCGTGCCGACGGTCCTTCGCGAGGCGCTCCTCCCTCACCGCCCTCCAAAGCTTGGCCTGCTTGGCTTGTTTCTCTTGCGGCCGGTGACACAGCGCCTTTTGACCTTGTCTGCGCGTCTGCTGCGGTTCCCCGTCGGTTAGGGCGTTGGGTTAGGCTCCTTCTTCTGCTTGCTGGTGATGTCGAACGGCACCCTGGCCCTCGGCATACCGGTGGCCCGCGTGGAAGTCTCGACTTGCAGTCCGGCTTTGCGTCTTCCACTAGACAGAAAATGTCTAAGGCCTTGGATGCTTTCGTCTTCTGGTTGGAGTCTGTCCACGGCTTGTCTTTGGCCGCTGTCACCGGTTCGGCGTCCTCTGCGGCGCTAGCTTTGCGCGCCTTCGGCCTCCACCTCTACTCGGGTGGCTACCCTCGCTACCTTCTCGTTTACGCGATCACGTCGATCCAAGACCGTTTCCCTGAATATCGGTCCCATCTGTCTCCGGCCTGGCAGATTGACCGTAAGTGGCAGCTTGCTGAACCTGGAGAGTGCCGTCCCGTTATCTCCCAGCCCATTCTTCAGGCGTCTGTTGCGCTTGCAATCTGCTGGGGGTGGTACGATTGGGCTGCCCTCACCTGCGTGGGCTTCTTGTGTATGCTCCACCCGTCAGAGATGATCCCTCTCCTCCGGCAGGACTTGGTCTTCCCTGCTGACGCTCTGTCTCCGGACCCGGTTGCTTATGTTCACATTCGCAACCCCAAGACTCAGCGCTTTGCGCGCCGTCAACACGCTGGGCTTGAAGACCCTTCCGTCCTCGCGCTTCTTCACGCGCTTTACTTCGACTTTCCTCTGTCCGCACGCCTTTTCCGTGGTTCCATGCATGTCTACCGCCGGCAGTGGAACTGTACACTCACTCGGGACGCTTCGCAACCGCAGGCGAAAAGGGGATAGGTTTTAGGGTTTACCCTGTAACCTTATAACTTATAACTTATAACTCTAAACCCTGAACTCTGTGACCATAAGCCCTGTAAACCGATAACCCGAAGCCCTACACCCCAAACCCCAAACCCTGCAACCCTGTCACCCTGTAACCCTGAACCTTGTAACCCTAAACCCTGTAACCCTAAACCCTGCAACCCCTATAGCCCTAGACCTTATATCCCTAAACCCTGTAACCCTAGATCCCCAAACCCTAAACCTTAAACCCTAAACTCTGACAGAGGTCTCAAGATGTAAAGTTTTACGAGCGCAGGGGTTTGGAGTCCAAAACGATCATAGGATCCTTTAAGTGTCCTGTGACATAAAAAAGGCACCAAACATCTAAACTCGAAGCCTTCTATAAAGCAGTAACTCAGTTCGGGGCTGCTTTGATGCCTCCCTAGACCCTAAACCCTAACCCCTCAAGCCTAAACCCTGAGCCCTAAGGCCTACCGAAACCCTTTATAAACCCGAAACCCTCAACCCTAAACCCTAGGGAAGCATCAAAGGAACCCCCTAACCAAATTACCGCGCCTTATTATATAAGGTTTAGAGTTTAGGGCTCAGGGTTTCGGAGTTAGGATTTAGGTGTTATAAACGACCTTTGGTTTCGAGGGGTTTAGGCGTTTGGGGCCACATTGGGATGTTTTTTTGGGCCCTGAACCCTAAACCCTAGTTTCAGTTGACATAAAGCCGCCGCCAATTTTCCTTGGCCCTCCCACTGGCTCTTTGGGGGCTTTGAGTTTACGGGGTTGAGGCGTTTGAGCTTAAGGGCTCAGGTTTAAGGGGCATATAGGGTTTAGGGTGTAGGGTTTAGGGTGCGAGAGGTGTCTTTCGTGAACAAGAAGCGGCTTAGCCGCGATGCGGGTGAGGCGCTACAGAGAGCGACTTTGGGATTCAGGTTTTGGACAATTATAGAGGCTTAAACCCGGATCCTAAACCCTAAATGGGTATAGGGCTTAGGCAAATCTTGGGATACAGCGAGCTGTATGAAAAATGCTGAAATTCCCAAACCCAAAACCCTAAACTAAACATTAACCCTAGCAGGACCCCCTTGTGCAAGCTCTGTCCCGAAGCCATAAATCCGTTAAGTCCCGGGCATCGGATTTCAGCATCTTCAGAGGAATCCTTAACCACAAGCCCTCGTGGTTTTAGGGCTTTAGGGTGTAGGGCTTAACGTTTAGAGTCTAAATGTTTGAGTCTTTTGATTATAGTGGGTTGAGGATTTGGGGCTTAGGATTTAGTTCAACTTCTCTCTTTCAGTCCATCAGGCTCAAGAGTTTTTCAATCAGCAGACCTTCCTGGAGTCGCCATGGCCAGGCTTTGGCGCCGGACGCTGTGTCTGCCTCTGGCGCTGGTTGCGGCGTTCGCGCTCCGTTTTCGCTGCCCGGCTTTCCTGCCGGCTGCTTCCCCGGAGACCGGGCGCCGTGCTGCGCTGACCGCTGCCAGCCTCTTCAGCACGGGGCTGGTGGCCTCTTCAATCCAGAGCCCAGCCTTCGCCGCGGGCGGCTGTGACAGCAGCGATGTCAAGAAATACCAGGCCTTGAAAGCCAAGTGGGACGACGTCATGAGCGCGGCCCTCTTCGAGGATCCCAAAGACCAAACGCCTAAATCCTAACCCCTAACCCATAAACCCTAAACCCTAAACCCTACTTGGAGGCCCAGGGGACTTAGTAAGTAGGTTAGAAGTAGGGTTATAATTACGGTAACTCCATTTAGGGTACTTATAACTCTACTTATAACCCACTTCCTAAGTCTCCTGGGCCTCCAAGTACCCCCGTTTGAGGATCCACCCGGCGGCACATGGGAGGACAGGTGCATCAGAAGGTTTGGAAGCTCCCAGTTTCCCAAAGAAGCAGGCCAGAAGTGCCACGAGTGGGTTCAGGATTTAGGGTTTAGGGTTCATCAGGGTTTAGGGTTTAGGGTTCAGGGTCTAGGGTTTAGGGTTCAGGGTCTAGGGTTTAGGGTTCAGGGTTTGGGGTTTAGGGTCTAGGGTTTAGGGTTTAGGGTACCCTATAGGCCCGAAAGCCTGAAGCCGGTAATTCACCCTAAACATCCCTAAATCCTAGGTCTTAGACATCCTTAAACCCTAAACTCTGAAACCTAAAACCTAGACCCTAAACTCTAATAAACCCTGAGCCCTAAAACCTAAAACTCAAACCTTAAGCCCTAAACCCTAAAAACCCCGAGCCGACCCTAGACCTGTGCTGCCACTGCACATTCAAAAAACCCTAAAACCCAAACCTTAAGTCGAAAACCTTATGCAGGCGAGCAGTGCATGAGTCAGAGGCTGACCCAGAGCGTGGGCCTTAGCCCCAGCTGCGCAAACTGCTACGGGGCGCTGGCGATGTGCACCTATGACACTAGGCCTTGTCTGTTTTAGGGTTTAGGGTTTAGGGTTTTAGGGTTTAGGGTTTTAGGGTAGTTTTACTCGTAGTTCCATTAAAATCCGAAACCCTCAACAATACTTGAGCTTGAAGCACAAAAGCAAATTACACCATCTCAGGACAACTGTGCCATGCTCTGCCTGGATGCCAAATCTAAGCAATGCGCGGAATGCGTGGCTGACAAGTGCAAAGGTGGCTTCAATGAATGCTCAGGCTTTGCACTGTGAAGTATGGATTAGGGTTTGAGGTTTCGTGTATACGGTTTTGGGTTTTAGCATGCTTAGGTTTTAGGGTTTGGAGTCTCGGTGCACACATAGATGGGGCGAATCTGCGAAATCTGTCATAGTGTTATTTGTCTACGGGAAGCGTCTCTCCAAACAGAATAAACCCTAATCCAAGCACCGGGACCAAGCTCACCCTTGATGGTGCCCAAACCCTAAACCCTAAACCCAGGCAGCTTATAAGAGCTTGGCTTTCGAAAAAAAAATGCGCGCGTGCACTGAGGGGTTCAGGGTGGCAGTCAGAAGTGCAGAGAGTAGGGTTTAGGGTTTAGGGTTCAGTTTTTATACCCTAAGCCCTAAACCCCAAACACGAGGGTACATATAGGGATAAAGCTTTCAATGCCGCACCACTCAATTGGGCCATGGGGACTGACCTTAGGGGTCCCGAAACCACTTCCCTGCGCAGCAGTTTAGGGTTTAGGGTTTATCCCCAGCCCCTGAAACCCCAAAATCCTTGAACCCTCAAAACTCCAAGATCCCTAAAAGAACGAATACCCCCAAACAGACTAAGCTCCCTAAATCTTAAATTCCTTGACCCTCAAAACTCCAAAACCCTTAACAGACTAAAAGCCCCAAAACCTCTAACTTCCCTAAAACCCCAAACATTCCTAAACCCTCAAGGCGAAAATCTTCCCTTCCTCTGGGTGCTACTTGAGAAATACCAACATGGGTTAGGGGTGAAGTTCGGGCTTTCGGGTTTTAGGGTTTAGGGTTTAGGAGTTTAGGGTTTAGGGTTTAGGGTTTAGGGTTTAGGGTTCAGGGGTTTAGGAATTAGGGTTTAGGGTTTCTGGCGTGCCTGTGCAGGGTGACTACGCTCCAGTGGGCCAGTCCCGCGTCATCCGCTGCTGCTTGGCATTGTCGCAGTTTCAGCTAGAATGGCTATGGGCTTAACATAGCCATGATAGGAATAATAAGAGCTCATATACCATCACCTGCAGAAATGAGCGTGATCGCTTTGCGGCGGATGCAGGTGATGATGATGATGATGATTATTTTTTATTATTACTATAATACTTATTATTGTTACATTACTACTATAATTATTGTAGTGATGATGAGGATGGTTCTGAAAGGGATGGCGAGAGGTGATACCGGCCATGACGAGGGGTATAGCAACAAGGAGGGTAATGGAATCCGTTTGAGGGACGAAGGCTTTAGTACTTGGGGCACCAATCTAGCTGCGAGGCCCCCGCACACGAGATTGGATACTTGATTTTGCCACGGATCCCTCTGGTTTTCTCAGAGCAGGGAGATTCAGCTTCCCCCGGATAGTTCAGGTTTACGATTTATATGCGGCTAGTTACTCGTTTGGAGGCCTGCAGACTTGCTTTTTGATTATTCGTCAGGGATCTTGAATGTACTTTCACTATGCTATACCCCAACACCCTGTGCCATTTATAAAGGCTCCTCTATTATGCCCGTAATGCGACCTTGCTTGTAACCCATTACCACCCGTATGTTGCAGGGTTCGATGATCCCACCAGGCACCCATGAACCCTAAACCCTAAACCTGAAACCCCAAACCCTAAACCCTAAACCCTAGACCCTAAACCCTACACCCTGAGCCCTAAACCCTGAGCCCTAAACCCTAAACCTAAACCCCAGGCCTCAAGGTTGACGAGCATTGAACCAGGGTCCGAACTCCGATCTCACAATGTTTCCGGTCGATGACAAGCACGAACACCTAGTGGCGGGTACTGTAGTAAGTGGAATCGCAAGCAAAGTAGCTACACCTCTATACATATATATATATATATATATGTATACATACGTATGACACCAATGAAGTTACTTATGACCTTATTTACAAACTCCAATGGGCCGTATAGGCGTGCTTCTCCCTGGGGCCTGGTTCAGCTTGATGATCACACCCGAGCACTTCCAGCCGGGATGCGGCCCCGGCAGGTTTACCAGCTAGGTCAGAAGAAGTCAGCTATACAAAGTGTAGGACGGTTGCAGTAGGAAGCTTGTGTGCAGATATCCTGCTTGCATCGCGCGAAGGCTTCAACGCTGTGCCAGATCCCATGATGTCTGAAGGCGTGATTCCTTGAACAGATTGCGTTCCCAAGTTGAGAACAAACCTGCCTCGGGCTGCACGGCAGGAAGTCAAATTCAGCCTGTGTTGAACGTGGAAAGTTGCGACAGAGAGCCGCAGAGAGCCTGCACCAAAAGATGCGCAACAACTAGCATATGGTTTGGCCACTGAAGGATCGGAAGCTTGTGCGTGAAGGTCTTCGTCGCATGGGGTCCAGCCAATGGGAAGTTGTCAAAC